GTATAACTGATACCGCATGATGGTCTGCAGGACAACGAGAAGAGCAAGTGTTTTTCTATGCGCAAATAGACATTTAAAAGTTATATACTAGTTAACCATTTTGTTTATCAAAAATTAAAAGTTAGTTCAAAGGTTGATTTTCACTATAGATTTGATACATTACAGTTGTACATGTAACTGCCATTGCAGGCTCATAGTGTCAAAAAATATAGTATATGTTAACTATACAATTAAAAACTAAAGCTGATTTATGATGTGGCATCCCTCGATAATGAGGTTTGATGATCCTTTTTTGCCTGGCAATGTTTTTGTTTGTTGTCTCCAAAAACGGTTGACTGTCCCCCGTTCCCCTTTCTAGCTTGCATTGCAAAATTAAAAGTTTCTTCAGGATCGCTTACAAAGCATTGGTTTCTACAATAAGAATTGCCTCAACACGCCTCATTATCGTTAAAAAAAAATATAGGAAATTGCATGCCCAGTTTTCAAAGATACAGATTTTTTGTATTTCTGTTGTTAGAGGTAAATTAAAGGCATTATAAATTTGTATGCTAAGAGAATAGGCTTCTTTTCTTGGTGTGCGTATGATGCAATAATAAGGAATATACTTCCTCAGGGTCCGACACTCGTCAAAATTTGGTCTCGCCATTTGGGCAACCATGGTGTGATCACAGGTTGCCCGAATGAATTTCAGGTCGTCCAAATCAAATATCAAATGAAACAAAACTCAGTGTGCAATTGTTAAAAATTTGTTACAATAATTAACAGAAACAAAAATATTTAAGCAGAATGATGATTGAATCAGACATACAGAATGCTTAAGTTTGTAGTTTAAAACATTCATTTTCACTTACCATGAAGCCTTACATAAATGGGTTCAAATAACCCTGGACTGAGTTAACCAGGTGTGATATTACAGTGGAGACCCAACATGGCTGTCTAGCAGCAGAAAACGATCATCAAATGATCAGAAAGTTGTAGGGGGAAATGCAAGATGTTACAATGACGATTATTACTCTTTATATTTAAGGTGATTGTTGACAAAGTTGACATATTTTATATCTCAAATAAAACTTTAATAAAGACTTTTATTAAATATTGCATCAGCTGATTGATCGAACACATATTTGGCAGGTAGAAAAATCTACGAGGCTGCAATCTGAACGTGTTGAAAGGGTTGGTTTTGTTACAGGAAAATGTTTTCAAAGCCTTATGAAGTTTATTTTGAAATATTAAATATCATTTTTAAATATTTCCAACTCGTCCCAAGTCGTCATTTGGGCGAGCCAGACTAAAAATCAGGTTGCCCAAAATCATATCTGGGTGGAAATGACGAGGTGACGAGCGCGAATGTCGAACCCTGCTTCCTCTAATGCACTAGGGATGGACATGTTTTGATAAAAACTTTAACTTTTCTCTTTATCGATTCATATAATTTTTAATTGACTTATAGATATATGTACACCGTATCGGCTATTTACCGATGTAAATGCTGAAAACAATATAACTAATAATAATATGCAAGCATACTTTGTTCGTAGTTAGGTATGTACTTAAAGCCTTCATTTACTTTTAAATATATTAAACTTCGAAGGATATATGAGTCACTTTGTTTGTAAACAAAAAATATGAAAATTTGTACTGCGAAGTAATGTTATCATGGCTAAATGTCACGTAATGTTATAGACTTAAAATGCATCAAAATTAATTGCATTCATTTGACTCTAATCCACAACTTAATTATAATTTAATCCATAGGAAGGCTCACAGGCTGCAACCTCATCGTAATTCCAATTACAAGTCTGCAAAGACAGTAGTCTTACATTAATGGTTTAGATTTTACAATGCACCTGTACAGAAATGTCAACAGACATTAGAAGGAGAAAATACAAATTCTTTAAATTTTAGAATTTCAAAGACATTTTCAAAGCACATGAAAAACAAGGATGGTAAATACGAAATATTTTAAAAATTGCTGGAATTTGAATAGTCTTATAAATGAGTGATTGAAATACGTCACTGATTCCTTTCACACACGTCAAATCTATATAGAACAGGTAATGTACAGAGGTGTGTAAATCAAATTTAGCTACATCAAGTACTCTTCATTCAAAGATGGTGCTCTTAGGGTACAAATAAATCAAGACTTTGAAATAAAAATTTCCATGATATAAGTGTATACTGTGAGTAAGTGTCACATATCATCAGTATAAAGCCCAGCCTATTTTGTCAGAACTAGAAATGAGGGAAGTGAGTCATTTAGACAAACCAGTAACATGAGATCATTATAAATACTGATCAATATATTGGTCACTAAAAAACAGTTTCTTTTGTTTATCAAGAGCGGATCAAGATTTTTTGCGGGAGAGGGCATACGCACGGAAACCAAGTAACTAATGAAAAGCTAAGATATGCTTAAACTCGAGAAAATTTCAAAAGAAGGAAGAGGATGGGGTGGGTGGGTGGGGGTGTTTGTTTCGACAACAGTTCTTACAGACAAACCTTTACTTTTTTAATATTCCTAATTTTCCAATTTACGAAGGCTCAAGTTTAAGTGGTGCTTTGTCACAAGGTATCTTTTTTTTTAAAATCATAATAGTTTGAAAATCAAAGGATTGGGAGAAGAGGATGGGTGGGCTTGGAACCATCTCTCGCTGGATCGTATAGTTATACAATCTTTATGGGGATTAGTTACTTCACTTGGAGCATGAATTTTATTTCACTGTCTAATAATCTCAATGTTTATTTCAATTTATGATACAATTACTGACATAATCGACCGAGTTTATAATAACACAATCCAGTGCAAAGCCCCTGTGATAATCTAGTTAGTTTATGGAAGCTGTGAAATGAACAACATTGCATCGAGAGTGTGCAGTAAAAAGTTTCGAACAGTTGACCTGTAATTCTCAGATGAATGACAGCACGGTAGTGTGACTCAAAGAAAGGTATAAGAAATTACACCTGAACCAAAACTCTGATACAATTGTTTACCAAAATACTATGCAAAAACTGATCACTTCGCGTGAGTCACGGGCGCTGATGGACTTTTCATAGATTAACCTTATTTGGAGAGAAGAAAGCTTTGTTACTATATTTAGATTTCCAATTCCTTGGAAGGCCAATATTCTTGTTTTGTTTCCATATTTGTCTACATTTTAGATGTAAGGTTCCATTTTAATGGTAAACAGCTAAATACATTGTATAAGTATACTGTATAGTAAAAACAGGTACCCGTTGTAAATACCCGTATTTTGATACATGAACATGAGTCATGTTCATTTTAAAGTTTTACTTCGGTCTGTACATGCATTTCTTGAGGTGTGATTTAAACGGGTAGATGATCTCATGGTTTAAACACCATATTATCTTTAGATAGGTGCCCGAGATCTGATACCCACAATATTCTATTGACCCCGGACCCGGATGTTATTTTATTTAATTGATAATACTGTTGGAATAGTGAATACAGCCTCTTTGAACATATACATTATTAAAAAACTGTCGATACATTTAAAAGGTGTGTTCAATATAATCAGATAATCACAGATAAAAATGTTTCGCAAAAAAAGAATATCTATAAATTAATCAGACTTATTTTTCATAGTCGCCTGGTCGGTCTTTGTTTATAATTAATTCGGCCGATCAGGATACATGCCCTAATTGATTGCAGTGTAAAGAGTGCATATATCGATGTAACGTCCTCAGTGATTATGCCGCAAAATCTCGAGTATACTGTCCGCCTGGACATCTAAGTTAAATACTGTATTTAAAAATATAAACATATTGGAAAACCCTATGGTGTCAGGTTGACAATACTCCGGTCATTACCCTAACCTTCAACAATATATAAGTAATGCATTTAAAAAAAACCATGCAGATGGGAAGATACTTTAAAGAAATCGATCGTGAAACTGCTCTACCAGAACTTGTGACTCATCTCTCAGCTGATTGTTTTTCATTGATTTTACTTAAGACGATGTTTTTGACGGTAGATAATTCCTTGATTTATCGCGCGAAAGAGTTCCCTTCACCGCTGTCTAGGTCACACATGTTTACCTTTAATGGTAATATGTCAATAAAGCCTTAAACTCTGTCAAGGATTTTACACAGATTAGAATCATTTAATTGAGAAGTATATGACAATATAACTTTAGATTTAACACTTATCTATCTCATTTAAATTGCTTTTTCCGGACAGTGACTTATTTCCTAAGATCAGCTAAGGATACAGGTTGAGTCGCGTGGTTAATCTCCGATAATAACGGCTGATCCATTGAAATATCTAGTGTCTTATTTATTTAGTGCATTACATCACCGTTATTTCATATTTATAAACATATGCACAAATATAGCTACTCATAAGTAAAGGTATATAACTTGTACAAGCATTGCCTTCTCGGACACTTGCAATGGCCAGATATGTCGGTCAATCGCACACTTAAGGAAAGCCACAAAATCCTGTTACACTTTTTATATGTGTAGTATAATATAATAGGACATACATTGTACTCTAGCCATGGGATACTTCAGATATCAAATATTAAATGGGCATTTCTGTGCGCAATAAATTAATTATGCATACTTGATATTTCAATTACAATGTAGTATATAATAACAATATTAACAAAGTTCCAATACCTTTTCGACTGCACAAATTATGCATATCATTGGATAAATGATTTTTTTAAAATAAAAACTACCAAGGATATAGTAATGGTCTTCAGAAGAAATTATGTAAATAATCAGAAATAATAAAGCTGTAATAATTAACACATAATTCACTGTCTACCGAGTCCACAAAACCACAAGATTTCATTGACCAATCACTACAGAGCGAAACAGCCTCAAATCAACATACAGCGATAGACCGACTTGGCCACGTTCCAGAAAGAACCGGATTGTCAACAAAAGCGTTGACTCCGCCCCCATTGCAGTCAGTTGACATCGAGAGTGGTATAAATAGGGATAATGAAAACAGATAGTCTATAACCATTCTATTACTTGGAGAGAGATCATAAAATATTTCAATTCATCAGTTTTGTTGCAACTTTCTATTTTCTAGATTTGGATTTAGCTGTTTGACATAATTGTCTTATTAAGGTATGTATACTGTTAATTTGCACAATTGCTGTTTCATCATATTTTTTAATAATTATGTAATGGTGTAATAATATTAAAGTATTGCGTTAGACATGTTGTAATGTTTGCCTACAGCAATAAATGATATTCGTCACCTCTTCAAATTATTACTTGAGGACAATGCATAAAACAAATAAGTACTAATTATGAATCAACGATGATGTAATATGTCGAGTCTCAAGAAAAAAGAAATACAATATCGTGTCTTAAGAAATTTTATTACCTGGACAAATGCCAGACCGATGTTTAGAATACTTGCACATCATAGGAAAAAAACTTTTAGAATTGACATTGAGATGATATGAAAGTAACTAAGGTTTAAAACTTGATGACTAATAGATCTTATCTTTTATCTTTGCAGCCAGAAATGCTTCTAAACCAGGAAAGCCCAAAATTTATCGAAAGAATGACTTGGATCAACTCACTGCCAATGGTAGCCACTCTGATAAACGGCCGCCATGTCATCATCGACTTCATGACAGAACAGCAGCTAACGGAGACTTACTGTATGATCCAGGAAGCCGCCCAGCATGGAGACGGCTACGGAATCGACGAATTCGACTCCGAGAAAGACTTCCGACGAGAAATCGAGGGAAGTGACTGCTTTGCTGTGATTTGCAAAGAAAGTGGCGAACTGTTAGCTGGTTTCATCTTAGCCGTCAGCAAATTCTATCGTGGAGCTAATGGAGTGGTAGATCCTTTCATCATCGTCAAACGCTCCGAGAGAAACCAGAAACTTGGCGAATTCTGCATGAGAAAGGCCATCGCCTTCTCCGAAAAGATCGGTTACATGGGCATGTACGTGGACACTTTCTCCAACAATATTGCCGTCCGGCGAATCATTGAAAAGATTGGAGACTTTCAGCAAGTTGGATTCCTCCCACTGGGGGGCAAGCTAAAGAGTGGACAATTGATCGGGTCTGTAATATACTACCGCGATCTGTCCCCAATAAGTGACACGTGAACTGTCTCGATCGAAGATGGACTTAATACCCAATTAAGCCCAAATTGGTGAAAACTTTTGAAAACCTACTGCTTGAACAAATCGGGCTTCGGCGCGCTCCGCTCCAAAGCAGCAGAGTGACATTATTCGAGTAGCCAGAACGTGCAAAAGAACAGAGCATTACTGTGACATTGAAGGAATCGAAAGTTTCAGACTGTTAAAGATTGATTTCAGTCAAGTACTAGTATTTATATCAGACCGTCACAGTAACTGTATATACTTGATACCAGAAATGTTCTTTGCTTCTGGTGATACCACAAGCTGTATTCAGTAGTCCAACAAATCTTGGTACTGCTTTATTATGTCAAAACAACAATGTTCAACAATTTCTTGTTTACATGAAATAAAAACGAAGTAAACATATATATATGTCTGTATTTTATCATATTCACAGGGAACGCGAGGGAAATTCACATAATTATTAACAAAGGAAGTAATAGAAAAAAGAATTATTTTAACGGAGAGAAGTTAAGTTAAACTTAACAAATATCAAAGTATTTGTTTTGAATGGCAATACAGGATTTTAAATGCTACGTCTAAGCAAAAATATTATTTGACCTTTCAACGGTCGAAAAATATTTAAAGGTCTCATTCAAAACTGGAATATTTGATTTTTCTAGTGTAAATATTTTCTTGCCTGCTAAAACTACTTTGGTTAAAGGATAAGCGCATGAAGTTAATATTATCTGGTAATCATGTCATCATGTACTCTAGCCTTGCTAGTTCAAAATACCGAGGTTTCTATGCTTTTTGGAGATAATGACTGCATATGTCAAGGACAAATTAACTGTCTTGCTCTCATTTCCATAAGTAAACGTAACACGACTAGTTGAGGAGTTGTCACTGTTGCACACGCAAATGATGCATTTGTATGAAAGATTTATGTTAATGCAGTCCCGAATAGCACACACCACGGCTCAATAAAATAGTAATTGCCTCGATTAACCAGAATCTGAAGTTTTTATCTCTACTCAGATATGAAAACATCTGAATTATGCAAAACTAGTTTTTGGTTTGTATATTAAGTCCTGCATGAATTATTAATAACTTAATTGTATATTCCTAAGACTCAAAATGACTCATCTTAAGCAAAATTAATTCTAAATACAGGGGTACTTTATCATCAGAAAGGGTAAAAAGACTCCTGAAAGTCATACCTACTAATATATCTAGAGCATAAAGAATTGTAAGAATTTTTATAATAGCATTATCTTTCTGATACAGTTTCTTGGATTCTTGACATTCTTTTAAAAAAAGATTGTTAATACTCTATATTGCATATCATATTAAAGAATAGTAGGCGTCGTGCTTTAATCTAGAATTACACACATTAAAATAGTTAAAAAGTAACATTTGTTACATAAAGTAGTTAAATAAATTATAAAACTTGTAAACGTGCTCCACATGTATCAATAATTTTCATATAATGATAAAAATTGACTTCTGGTTTTATTTCAAAACAAATTCCATGCCATGATCATGTCTGAAGCATTAAAGAATACCAAAAAGCAGAGCCATGATTAGATAATATAAAGCAATCTATTTTAGTCCATCATGTCTGGAGTATTATAGTATACCAAAACAGATGGATGGTACCGTAATAAGAAGCGGTATATTTTCGTATGATACGGCCTACCGTGACTGCCAGATAAAGACTGCATAACTTTAATTAATCAAATATATAACTAATTACAAAAAAGAGATGCAAATTAGGTAAGACACGACAGCTTTCAACATTCGAGTTCATTAAATTTGACCTTATCTCGGACTATTTGAGATAGAAAAGCTCAATCTGTCAAACAGTTAGCGTATCCAAGACGACACAAGTAGGTTATGAAACGTTCCATGTTACAAAATGAAGTTACATAAAAACACCGTTACTTAAATATAAAGCGCATCGAATAAAATAAATCTGTGCAACTTTATTTTTTAAAATTTACACCAAAACAATCAATCAGAGGTTTTGAAGTTACATAATTGTCCATATATTTATAATTAACATTGTATCGTTTGAAATGGACTAGGGCTTTTGCATATACTAGTAAGTAAATCTGGAAATGAATTTCTTTCGTAAGGAATAAAAGACAAAAATAAACAAACCTTTAATATGTACTTTATAGAAGTGCTGTTTCAAGTATATATTTTATATGGGACTGTAATTTGACTATTAGCAACAGAGCACATGGCGGTTTTTTATGAGCATGCCAACTCCTCAGTTTATTTAAAACTGATATTGTACGTCTTTTGAATTTTAATAAAAGCCTCCATCGTTTTTCTTAATGTATGGTAAGATATTCCATTGAAGCTCTGATTACCTACAGTATAGAATTAAGGCTATGAGGTTATAAAACGATTTTTAAATCACGGACTCAATACCGATGTAGACGTTATAGCATAAGTCCCTTCTTAAAAAGTTAACAAATGCTTAGTTATGTAATTCCCAGTAACACGACCTGAAGAAAAAGCATGTTACAGTATGCACAGTGAAATCCCATTTCTATAATTAAAGAATGGCCATTGATGATTATTTGAGTACTTACATCTGTAATTGTTGATCAGTTATTTTTAATGAATAATGAGCTTGACTTGTTTCCAATAATATTGTGTAAGACATGCATTTAACGTTTGTTTAACAAAAAACAATAATACAGTCCAACCCAAAAGTATCCATTCCCAAACACAGAATAAATCCATTGATTTCCTAATAGAAATAAATCCGAGGCGCGGACTTGTTTATTGGCGAACTGACCGATCATACGTCATTCATTGAAGAGGCAAAATAAGTCTATTGGGACACGGTTCTCTCTTATTTAATTCAAACACGTCATAATGGGCACAACAAAACAATTGAATGCTGTATGATATTGGTTGTTTAGTTAGGAAAACGTTCTAATCGATTGATGTTATGCACTATATCTTTTGAAGATATTTTAAAAAATGAAAAATCGTTTTACTTGCATTCGAAATCGGGTGATTAATTGCTGTCAAATGAATTAAAATATAATGCACTATCTGTTTTAAAAATAACCACACAATACAATTAATTACTTTAATGCAATCAATCTATCACAAAGTGAAAAATGGAATGCACACATAATGATCATATTAGCATCTGTATTCTGACTGATTGAGTATGCGAAAGGTATGCAGTTATTATTTTCTCCTTGTATAATTGAAAAAAAGTCTTTTCTTTTTAGCGGAGTTATTACGTTTTATTGCAACGTTTTAATACGTTATTCTTTTTTGACTTATATGCTTAAATGTTTGAAGGCATCATCGGTTACCCACTGGTGATCTTAGCTTTTACGGTTGAGTAATGAAGGATATGGAAATAACAGTATTCAATATCAAAGTCCATAAAACAAGACAAAATAGGAGCAGAGCAAACACGGACCTCTAAAACATTAGAGGTGGGATCAGGTGCCATGGAGGAGTGAACATCCCCTGCTGACCGGTCACACCCGCCGTGTGCTTCTTATCATGATCCGGAAAAACTAAATCACCGGTGGTATCCGACGATTGGTTTGAGGCTCTATTTGAGTCTGATAATTAATTTCATTTTTCAGTTCAAATGAATACCTGACTTAAAAAATGATTTTTCGAAATACAAATTTTACGTCGATGTTTTCAAAGTTGACATCAAACTTAAACGTATTGTGCACGGTAAAGCGTTAACAATTACCTCAGCTAGCTTTGTACATCCCTCAAATAATGTGCACATATCCCATATAAATTGGAACAATGAGGCCTATTAACGAAAGGATATTTTGATATATGGAGATAACGAACAGTATTTAAACCTTAAAGTCTATTTAAACAGCACAAAAAAGGAACAGAGAAACACGGACCTCCAAAACATCAGAGATGGGATGAGGTGTCACGAAGCATCCCCTCTTACACCCTCCGAGTGCTCCTTGACATGACTGGAAAAAAACGAGAAAATCCGTAGACAATTCAGTGTGTAATTAATGGCTTAACAAAAAATGAAAAAGTCAGTCAGCATTTGTCTTAACGATATATTATATTTTGTTCGACCACAGAACTTGCGAAATGATGACTTCAAAGGAGATTGTTGATAATCTTGTTTTATCAACTTATTTGTCAATAACTAATCTCGTTTAATAATTGTTCTCACATAGAGCTTGTTCTTGCGTATCGAATCAACTTAGAGATATAAACTCCATATGCAGGTACTAAGGGGGTATTGCTACAGTCATCACTTTTATCATAAAGCTTTGTTGTTAGGTCACCATTATCTATCTTTTTTTAAAATATCTAAACGGATGAGTCGGATTTTGTGATTTCTTTTATTTCAAGCTCATATGTTTTGGAACTATTATTAATTGATAATACATCGCCGATATATAAAATGACGTGGTTAAGATCGCAGCAAGTGTTTTCTTCTTCCAACTGACTTCTCTATGAGATTTTGAGAAAAATTCTGATTCAAATGAATACAAACGTAGGTCTGCTTATAACGGGGCGCGATTGCTACATATTAGATCTACAGCAGATTGGTAAAAGACCTTGTCTCCAAAGTCTACATAGATATTGTCAAAACTTCAGAGTTTTTTGTTTGTACTATCACAAAGATATTGTCAAAACTTCTGAGTTTTTTTGGAGTACAATCAGTGTTTTTAACAAGATAGTTTTGCAAATGACTAATGACGCGGTCAATGAATTGAGAAGATCCATTCTTTATTTAAAAAGCACAACAGTTAATTTAATTTCAAATTTACCAAATGTTTCTTGAAATTGTCATGCATCATCCGATTTAGACGACATTTCGAATATTGTGTTGCAAAGTACTCCTGAATTTTCTCCTTTACTGCTGTTAATATTTTTGAGGAGTAAAGAAAGAGGCTCGGTAGAACGTTTTCTAGAATCTGCTTTTTATCTTTGTTTGCAATGATTTTTATAAAATTAGGAATTCAGTGTAGGATGACAATTCAAATACATTTTGTTTGTTAGAGATATTACAAATACAAGAAAGTAACAAACATATATGATTTTGAAGAATTTACTCCTTAGATAGCAAGTTATTGGTATAAACTAGATTCAATTTACTACTTGAAGGATTTGAAATACAATTTAATAATGAGCCTTACAAACAAAGAAAGTGCAGTTGTTATATATCTTCTTTGTCAACTGGTATAGGTACACACTGATCGTTTAATCTATCTAAGTCACTTCTAAATTATTCAACACAGAAGGATAGATAGTTTTCATATATTGTCCCTCAATTACTTACTTTTAAAATACATCTGATACTTTTAATCCATTCTCACAAAGCGTCAAGGTCTTGTTTTGTCCCATCGGCTGGGATAATCTTCCACAAAGTTCATAATATTTATGAAATTCTG